CCTTAATGGATCGTATTGTTCATTAATGAATCGTATTGGGATTTAAAGGACCGTATTGGGCTTTAATGGATCGTATTGGGCTTTAACGGATCGTATTGGACACTAATGGATCGTAGTTGCTTTAACGGACCGTATTGGGCCTTAATGGATACGTGACCACAAAGTGTAGCCAAGTCGTGGTAAGTATATCTGTCTATTATAATTGGGTTGCCATTTGCTGGGCAAACATTATAATTTGTTAAGTTAGAAATTACGTGTATATATATATATATATATATATATATATCATTCTTTAGTTTGGGTTGCCATTTGTTAGGCAAATATTAGGATTGTTTAAGTTAAATTTTAAGTATATATCATTATTTAGTTTGGGTTGCCATTTGTTGGGCAAACATTAGGATTGTTTAAGTTGGAAACGTCCCATTTACAGCCGTTATGCTGTCAAAATTGATTTGCAATATTTTTTAAACTATATATAGGATGAGTATTCAACTGGTCTCACCCAAAAATACGGCGATGATCCCTCCACTTATCCCTTAGTTGATAAAGAGTTGTGGAAGCAAGCGGTTGGGGGAAGCAAGAAAGGCCGTTTATTTGGGTTTGGGTACAACCAAGATCCCAATTGTGTCTTGACCAGGAGCTACACGGAAGGTGGTTCATCTTCAGAGGGTCGGGTATGTTCATCTTTTGCTTTGATAATGTTTATCGATTTAGTTTTTAATTCATATTAAATATTATAACGTTTTATTTATTTTATATGAAATTCAAACCTTAAAGACCCAAGTTAGAACCTTAGAGGAACGACAGCGAATGGAGGAGGAGCGACATCGATTGAAGGAGGAGCAACAGGATAAAAAAATTCAAGATATGACTGCTTTGGTTAGACAACTCAGTGAATCTCACCAATTTCCCCCGCCGCCACCATATTGAATATTGTCTTTTGTTTGAAACAATTTAGTTTTGTTTATAACAATATAGTTTTTGTTCGGTTGGAATAATTGTAATTTCACTTTAATTAATGTATGATATTTAGTTCTATTTTGCCTTTTTAGTTTCATTTTTAATATTGTACAAATTTACAGGTTTTAATACAGGTTTTAAATATTAATTTTAAAATAAAAATAAAATATTAATATTTACATATTATTTTCCAGCGGATTTCCGGCGGCATAGTCCGCCGGTAATGTTTCCAAATATTGAAAATCTTTTTTTAAAAAATATTTAGAATTATTTTTTAAAAAACTTTCCCGCGGATTTCCGGCGGAATATTCCGCCAGTATATATTTTTAAAAATTAAATATATATTCTATTTTAAAAAAGATTAATTATTTTCTGACGAAAAAAGTTTCCGGCGGAATATTCCGCCGGTATTTTTAAAAATTAAATATATATTCTTTTTAAAAAAGATTAATTATTTTACGACGAAAAAGGGTTCCGGCGGAAGTTTCCGCCGGTAAATGAATTTAAAAAAAAAACTTAATCATTTTGTTAATTTAATCAAGATTTTATAAAATAAACCGGTGAGGAATTACCGGCGGCCGGGATCCGCCAGAAATTGGTAAAATCCGCCGCTTTTGCTGCTGAAAATCCAACCACCGGCGCCACTTTTTCCGGCCGCAATATC